TCGCCCTGGAGGTCGGCAGGATGGCTGGAGCAGAGAGCTCCCTTTCCTGGCGCCGATCCCCTCGTTCTTCATTTCTCTTGTTTAAATACTTCTCCTCTGGAAACCGTGAAAGATTATCTTGGAGAAAATCTTACCTATCTGATTAATCAATACGCATTTGATGGTCCGTAATCAATTTATCAAGAATTTGTATAACTAAAGATCGAGAATAAACTAAAAAAAATTCTCAATTTCATATTATAACTAAATGGACTTCTCAGAGTAGCTATTTGCATATGTTTTACAAAGGGATTATACTTTTCTCCCCTACGTGTTGCATTTACAATATAGATTACTTACCATCCAGAGTTCTTTGAAAATCAGAGCGTTGTTTTCAGTTTAGGTCCTCTGCTAAAAGACCAGAAGTGAACTCAGAATAAAGAGTAGCAAAGTTGATACTTAAACACTCCCATCCCTAATTTAAGCATTTGTTATAGGTGGCTTTTCTCTTTCTGGTCAAGTATTACTGGTAGTTTCTTTAACCGCTTACTTCCAATCCTAACTCAACTCTGGCGGTTCCAGTGGGCTTTGGCTGAGGAGTTGCTGGGAAGAGGGAAGCCCCCTGCTAAATCGTGCATTTGTACTTTGATTATTCCTCTGCCATGAATTTTTATTTTTCTTATTTCAGAGGTATTGTAGCTTTTCCCTCTTTACCATATCTTTATCAACTTCAACTCATCCTTAACATAATTATTTTGAAACAACATACAGTTCATATTTCTCAGATTAACACCCAAGTACTTTACTTTTTATTCAATTTCAAAACCTGATTGTTTATCAAATGTTTCACCTTCTATATATTTTTTAACATCTTGTTTATTAGTGTTATAGCCCCATTGGCAATTGTCAGAAGTAAGTCTTCATCCTGGTTCATCCAAGCCGGGAATAAATAAGCAAACATGGCAACTGCTTTGGGAAGAAGGTTACAGTTTATTGCAGAAGACAGATAAGCAGCAGAGGAGAAGGAAAAGAGAGCGAGCACATGGGCAGAAGGTCTTTTTATACCCCCCTCCCAGCCCTGCTTGGGAGTTTCCTGTTCCTGTGGCATGAACTTTGAGGCTATTTCTGAGTGTTTTTCTAGGCCTTGATATCTGTGGTTTATTTATTTATTTATTTATT